ATCCACTTTGAATTGGTTTTTGTGTATGGAGTGAGATGTGGATCTAACTTGAATTTTCTACAGATAGTTTTCTAATTTTGCCAGCACCATTTGTTAAAAAGGCTATTTCCCACTCAACTGATTTTATCTCCATGTCAAAAATCAGCTGACCATAGGTAGATGAACTGATTTCTGCATTCTCAATTCTATTCTATTGATCTATGTGTCTGTCATTGTACCAGTACCATGTTGTCTTGAACACCAAGGCAGTGTAGTAGGATTAGAAATCAGGGAGTGAGATGCCTCTTACCTTGTTTCTCTTTTTAAGGAGTGCTTTGCTTATTCTGGGGTCTTTCCATTCCAAATGAAATTGGAGATTACCTTTTCCATCTTGTTGAAGAATGGAATGAATATTTGTATTGGTATTGCATTGAACATGTAAATTGCCTTTGGTAGTATTGTCATTTTCACAATAATGAGTCTTCCTATCCATGAGCAAGGGCTCTAGAACCACATGATCCTATCAATTGATGCAGAAAAGGCCTTTGACAAAATCTAATACCCTTTCCTGATTAAAACACTCAACAAAATAGGGTTAGAGTGGAATTTCTTCAACATAGTAAAACGTATATGGGCAACTGGAGAGGCAACATTGTTCTCAATGGAGAGAGATTAAAGCATTCCCATTGAGAACAGGAACTAGGCAAAGATGCCCACTCTCACCTCTCCTATTCAATATTGTATTGGAAGTCTTAGTAATAGCAATAAGACAAGAAAAGGAAATAAGGGTATCCAAATTGGTAAAGAGTAGGTAAAACTATGTCTCTATGCAGATGATATGATAGTTTACTTAAAAACCCCAAGGACTCAGCAAGAAAACTACTGGACATAGTTGACCAATTCAGCAAAATGGCAGAATACAAGATCAGCATTCAAAAGTCAATTGTATTTCTCTACAATAACAAAGGAAATACAGAACTGGATTTCAGAAAAATAATACCCTACACAATAGCTAATCACAAGGTGAAATACTTAGGAGTAAACCTAACCGGAAGCACAAAGGATCTGGGAGAAGAAAATTACAAAACATTATTACAAGAAACAAAAACCTGGAGAGGTGGAAGATCTTTTGCATTCTTTATGGATAATGTTCTTGATATCCTCCCACAGTTCATCCGGTCTAGTTGTAAAGTATTACATACTAAACATAGTTGATTCTCTAGGGGACAATATCTGGTCTCTGCCCATTTGCATAACTGAGATGAGAATCCAAGTGGAATTTGCCAGTCGTGATGCAGCTAACACAGTCTTCATCTATGTCCTCAGGGGCCATGCCCCCTTAGATTTCATGCCCTGGGATTGTAATCCCTAATGCCAGAGCAGTCTCCTGCAGCCAGCAACCAGCAGCTGAGTTACCTCATGGGAAGAGTTATCACATGGGAAGAGAATGATTGTCCATCCATTTGCAACTTGATTGAATTTGGTTTTCAGTTTTTTCTGCTTGAGAAATATCAGGCGAGTGCTTCCCTTTCTATTCTCCAATTCTAGGTCTGTGCATATTCTGTGCATATTATAATAAATAGTTTGCAAGCAGGAGACAAGAGGCAGCAAACTACTATAAGGGAATATGCAAAGACCCAGAATTTGAGACTAAAAAGGGAAGAAGTTGCTCGTGAGTGTGGGGGCTTGCAAGTGGAATGTAGGCTAGGGTTGTAGATGATCAGTCACCTGCAGCCAGCAACCAGCAGCTGAGTTACCTCCTCCCTTCTGAGACCTGGACCCACGCTTAATGGTTTTACATTCTATTGAGCTCTCTGGAGAAAGCCTTCAACCTCTACCACTGGTGAAAACTGAACCTTCTTTTCACTTTTACAAGGAAGCAGCCTACAGTCCCATCACTTGGTCAGATGTTTGCAAGCAGGAGTTAAGTTTTCTAAAGTTTGCACTAATTTCCCCCCCAACTTACTGGCCTTACTCTGTGCAGCATCTCTACTCTAGTCTCAGATTTAACCACACAGAGCCTCAGTCGAGCTACTGTAGTGATCAGTGCTCAGGAGCCTTTCTTGGTTTCCCATTTCCTACATGCTGCAGGAGTTCTAATAAACTTTGATCTTTTTCTGGACGTATCCTTATTCATGCTCCAGTCCATATTCCTCTTTTAACTGAGTTAAGCATGGTATGGTTACCAAAGACCATCCTTAGGTTTTCTCCACGGTTCTTTATTTTCCTCCCACATTTCAGCTTTCTTGGAGTTTTCCAGGATTTTTTCAGCCTCTTCAATTTTTATTCATTAATTATTGGGATTTATTCCTCAGAGGTAAAGTCCTTCAAAGTTTGTGTTCACAGACACCGACTCAGAGACAGACTAAAAGACACTTAGTTTATGGAGAAAGGACAGCTTACTGGTTGGGGATCAGATGGAGGATGTTCAGAGAAGATTCTGTGAAGGGTGTGGGGGAAGTGATCAACTACCTATACATCTACACCAACAAGTCTCACTACATGGTTAGGCTAAAGAATGCATAGACTATACTACCTAACTTGGCGGGGACTAGAGAGCATTATGCTGAATGAACTCAGTCCCACCAGGACAATTGTTATACAAAACCATTATTGAAGAATGAGTATGAGGATCCAAGGCATGGGGAGGGTGGAAATAGAGGAGTGATGGGGAAAGAGTTAAACACAGGGTTGCACAATTCGGCAGGTGGGTGAGGTGAAGGAAACGGAAAGGATCTTTAGTGAAAAACAAAGTATTCAGACTTTGTAAATAAATTAGAGTAATATAAAATATATTATAAAAAGAATGTATAGCCTAAGGAAAAACCCAACATCTGTTTGACCTTTATTTAGTTCTGAAAGCATGTCTAGAGACAAGAAAAGAAAGGGTCAGTGTCCGTCTGAGAGCTATTCACTAAGACAAGGAAATAGAAGGACAACTTAAAAAGAACTCAAGTAGCTGAGATTGTTGTTGTTGTTGTTGTTAAGTGCCATTGAGCTGCAGGCGACTCATTGCGACCCTATGAAAGAGAGTCCTCAACTCTTGTGTGTCTTTCATCCTCTCTCCACGTTCATAGGTTTTCCAGAGGCAAGCTATTATGGATTGGATGCCACTCCTGCTTCCAAGCTTGTTTTAATCGAGGAGCTCCACCACACACTGTCTGCACTGGATAACCAAACATTAACGCATTTAATACATCAGTGTCACAGTATTCAGCCTGACAGCAAGCACAACACACTGCTGTATGACAGGTGGACACACCAGGGTTAAATGACCTAGAGGAATGTTTTAACCAAAACAATGAAAGACAGGTCTGAGTGCCGCAGATGAAAAGTCACCAACCTTTGGCTTGGTAGCATCGCTTTCTGTCCACTGGGCCCACTGATTTCCATGTTTATGTTGTTAAGTGCCGTCGAGTCACAGGCAACTCATAGCCACTCAAAGCTTAGATTAGATGTGGCTATTTGAGGTCATTTAGACAGACGACTACACAATATAATTTTTGTAAAAAGCATTAATCTTTGGTGAAAGATATTGAGATATCAGTGACTGGTGAATCTAACCAAATATTACCAGAGATAACCCAAGAGCTGCTCAGACTGAGGGGACAGGGGTAAAAGGAAAAGACAGGAAGCTTTGTGTTTCTAGAAAGTCTACATGTTGGAGACTGACCAAAGAGCAACATTTGTTGTCCTCCAAAAAAGGAAAAGGTCGTCTGTGGAGAAGTGGAGTAATCATTATGATAATTAGAAAGAAAAATGGGAAGCTGGGCTGCCTCCATTTCAAAGGATAGAACTATTACCTTCTGGATTTTAATGGATGTCATCACGGCTTCCTAGATTTAGAGGAGTTAGGACTTCATTAAATCAGTTTTGAGGTTGGAGCGTACCACTCAGGAGTGTCAGGGGGATGAGGCAGGTATGCAAATCTGCAGGAGCAGGACCACCTTGTCTAAGAGGATGAAGAATGGGTCTGTTGGCTAGAGGGATAGTACTGACAGATATCTGAACACCAATATCCATTGCAGCATTATTCACAATATGAAAATAAGTGAATGCCTAGTACATGCATGATAGATCATGAACGTTATGCTGAGTGAAGTCATTCAGACACAAATGGACACATTCCATGTTTTATTTCACTTATATGAAATGCCTAGAATTGACAGAAGCAGATCAAAGGGTACGAGGGTCTAGGAAAAGAGAGAAGTGAGGAGTTTTCACATAAGAAATAGTGTTCCTCTACAGGATGATGAAATAATTTGGAACCAGAATATTGAGGCAATTGTACAACATAGTGCCAATTGTGTCACTATACACTTAAAATAATTAAAATGACAAGTTTTGAGATGATATATACAATAAAGTCAATATTTGAAATGATGTTACTAATTGTATAATCCTAAACTCCACTACCACCATTCCAAAAAATAGTAGAACAGTCCTAGACCTCAGAATTGGCAACAGTTCACACAGACATAGCGTGCAACAGATTGTGCATAATAGCGCCTTAGACAATGCAATCAAATAAGTTAAGCACATGTTTTCTTTTTTAAAACTGTAAACCCCCTAATATAGTGAGAGTATTATATTGTGGTCAGGGAGCCCGTTAGCCCAGTGGTAAGGAATTGATCTGTCAAAGCAAAAGAGCACAGTTTGAATCCACGAGCTGCTCTGTGGGAGAAAGAGAAACAATTCTTTCACACGCGAGCTGTTGTTGTTGTTGTTGTGTACCGTCAAGTCAGAACTGACCCATAGCTGCTGACCCTCCAGTGGGTTTTCAGAAGCAGTTAATCGAATGTGAGGAGAACCCACTGCAGGTTCAGTTATGGGTCTGTTCTAACTCAATGATATACAATGACATACTGTTAAATGCAATAATTGGCAGGTCAAAAAGAAGAAAATAGTATTCTCTTACCCATTTTCTATGAAGATGACAGAAATTAAGACAGTCACTCAAGTTAGTAGGGACAAAATATACTCCAAAGCCACACGTGTCTGATGAAGGCAGAGACTGAACACTACACCTCACTAGTCCCTGGCCTCTGCACAGACTCCTGAGGGAGACTTTCTCCAGGTTCCTCTCCATCAGGAGTGTCCTGTAGCGCCCTCTGGAGAACCATCTTGAGGGTCACCCTCTGCACCCTCAGCCGCTGCCTAAAAGAACCAACGAAAAAGTAAATAACAGGGTTGGCAGTACTGTTAATACAGGTGAGAAGTGGAATCCAGGGACCAAAAACTGGAATTGAAGTAAACAAATAGAAATATTGAAGAATGTTGACAGGCAGCAGACAGAGGAGAGAAATAAACACTGTCAGTAAAATAGTCACATTGAACCTGGTCAGCTTCTTCAGGAAACCATAGAACATCTTAGCCAGCAAAACCATGTTAGACACTAACAGTGTCACAAATAAGAAAGACAGCCATGTGGCAAAGAAAATAAAAAATTCAGTGTAAGGAACACTATCGAAGAAATGTGGCATGTTTTGCAGAATGATCAGCAGCAGGGACCAGGTCCAGAGCAGAGCACACGTGACAGCTGAAGTGTGTCTTGGGCGTCGGCATCGGTACCAGATGGGGAACAGGACAGACAGGCAGTGTTCAGTGCTGATGCAGCTGAGAATGCTCAGGTCTACTACATACAGCAAGTTACATAAAATTCTAATGAAGAAAATCCAAATATAGTCTTGTGGAATGGAAATGAAATATATCAGGTGGAAAATAAACTCAAGGAAGAGGTAGAAGAAATCAGCCACGGCCAGGTTGAGAATGTAGACCGAGAAGAAGTTTCTTTTCAGGCGGAAGCCCAGAATCCAAATCACAGCTCCATTAGCCAATAGTCCAACTGCGGCAATGATGAGGGTTAATATCTGGAAGATCAGTGGCTCCATCTCCAGGTAATCTGTATTTGGGGGAGAAGGCTCGTAACCTCCATTCATTGTTGTTTGAGCGATGCCCCACGCTGGGATGGTTGGATTCATGCTTAGAAACTCTCCAATGTTGTCCCTGGGAACACAAACAAGACCTGGAATTAGCTTTGTGATGTCTGGGGAGCTCATATTGGCACAGTCTATAGGGAGTTGCAGTACCAGCTTCAAGACAACCACTTCAAATCCACTACTAGATCCTCAGGAGAAAAATATAAAATCTCTACACATTGTTACTGGTTTTTGTGGGTTGTTTTTTTTTTTCTTTTCACTGTGTGTGTGTGTGTGTGTGTGTGTGTGTGTGTGTACCGTCAAGTCAGATCAGATTTGTACAGGAGGAGATTGTCCCTCCTTCTCCATCAGAGCATCTGGTGGATTTGAACTGTGCACCTTTGGGATTGCATGAACTTTGTTATTGTGTACCATCTAGTTGGAACTGACCCACAGCTGACCATCCAGTGGGTTTTCAGAGACAGTTAATCGCACATGAGGAGATTGCCTATCCTTTCAGCAGAACAACTGATGGACTCAAAACATGTGCCTTCAGAATTGACGTGCACCTTCTTGCCACTAGGCCACCAGAGCTCTCTCTTCTGTACTTTACAACTTCTAAAAACCATCTGGAGAGGCAGCTGTGTCAACTCAGACTCGGTGACAATAAATGAGGGGTTTTTTACATTCACAAACATCAAGCGAAATAGGAATTATAGAAATTAAGTAGTTTATGATATTTTAGGAGTTCCTGGAATCAGGACTCAACCTTAGCTTTTTTATTGTTGGTAAGTGCCTTACAGTTAACTCTGACTCATGGTGACTCTGTGAGCCTTCCTCTAACTTGTGCCATTCTCACCACCCTGTTATGCACTGATTGCTACAATCACTGTGTTAATCTATCTTAGCTCCATCTCTTTTGCTAACCCTTACCTTCCAATCATGATGTCTGTTTTCAAGGAACAGCCCCTCCTAACACAATGCCCAAAGTATGTGAGATGAAATCTCACCATCCATTGCCTTTAAGGGACACCCTGGCTGCATAAATATGCACCAAGATATTGTTTAGTTTTTGGATTGGCATGCCAGCGGATATTCAGTACTTTTCTCCCACATCACAACTCAAAGTCTTCAATTCTTATTCTGTCATCCTTATTAATTTTCTGACTTTCAGATACATAGGTCATCATTGAAAGTGTCAAAGCTCGAATCAGGTGCATCTTATTCTTTAAACCCACATCCTTGTTCCTTGCATCCTAAGGCAGGTTGTGAAATTTATGAATGCTTTCACGTTATCTCTGAGTGCTCTCCTTCCTTGGCTATGAATTAACAGTGACAGTTTTACTCTAACTAAAGACCTAGCTCCTCTCTGTTGGGTGGGTGTTACAACCTCTTTGAGTTCCTCTATTTCTTTTCCTTGCTCCTTAAGCCTAACAAGGATAAGTGCACCCCACAATCACTTGCCTTTAGGGGATTCCTAATACCTTAAATCTTCCCCTTATTAATGCTCATCTTTACAAACAGTCCTTCATCAGACTATCTTCAGTTATTCCAGTTTGGACTATTTTCCTACCTGGGACCACAACAGGCAAAAAAAGAGGAAAAGCAAATAAAACACTGAAGCCTGAGTTACTAACCCACTTGAGATTTGGGCAATTATGTATGCTCATAGGTTCCTCCTCAAATAGAGGAAAGCAGTGTCTTTCTCTGGCTGGAAGCAGATATAAATGGAGTAAATAAGGAGAGTATAAGGGGAGAGTCTCACTGATGGATTGGACATGAGTGTCTTCCATTCATATCTGCCATGATTGACTGTCAGCACCCAACCTCGTCAGGAGGGGTTTCATGATAGAATTGCCAATTCTTGGTAGAACTTCATGGCTCCCTGCATCCCTCACATGACAATACAGATTCTGATTAAGAAGATTAATGTGACAATGACTTTGCAAAGAAAACATTTCATTATAAACTCTTACCTTTCTTTCATTCTTCTTGCTGAAGATAGAACCAGCTCTATGCAGAATCCTCCAAGTGATAGCCACTAAATGACACGTCTACTTGTCTTCCAGATGTAGCAATGACTGCAGGGGTTGGAGTGGGACATACTGACCCTACAAACTTAAAAAAAAATTGAGCAACCTTGTGATTTCCTGTGTATGTGCCCAGTGACTGATTAGAATCCAGATATGTTTCCATCATGACTATTCCTGAAATGTTTTCTCAGCATTTGACTTATATCTCTTTCTCTATCTTGTCCTCTATCTCTTGCAATCCAGTTCCCTATTGATAACTGTAGTTCTGGGGCCATTTGCTGTAGATCTTGCACCTGCTAACAATAAAAAGTGATGCCATGTCACACAGGAACACTTTTATATCTGAACTCTAAAGTATGCCTTCATTTCGTTATCACAGAAACGATGATTTTCTTCTTCCCTGGGTTATTTTAGAAGAAAATCATAGCAGTTTTGCATGCATGCTTACAATTTTAAATGTCCCAAATATATATGCAATAAAGTTGAAAGTATTCTTGAATCATATTCTACAAAAGAATCAACTTTTCATAATTTTGTTTATAAACTATTTTATTAGCTATGATAATTGCTTTGAAAATTAAATGTTTATATTTTCTATTTTATCAGTGTTAAATAAAAAGATGAACTGACATTCTTTAAGAAGTAGAATACAAGTAGGTACACTTACCTCCCTACAAAGAAGAATACATGATAATTAGGAAGAGAAAATCAAAACCATAGGAAACTACTGAATAACAGTGACAGAAAAAGGATCAAAAGATAGTAAATGGCAAAATAGTAACTATTTTACTTCTAAGACGGAGATAAGGACAAGATGTGTACCTCAGTAAGTCTAGTCATTTAGAAATTGTTTTAGAAATTCTAACTATTAGGATATACAAAAATAAAGAAAGTTAAAAAGTTTGAAAAGAAAGTGCCAAGCCTCTCTATTATAAGATGGCATTACTATGTATGCAGAAAATTCTAAGAAATCCGTAAAGTTGTATTGAACTATTACAGAAAATTAGCAATGGTGTAAGAAGCAGGAATAATATACAAATATAAACTGCATTTGTGTGCTAGAATAGAAATGTGATATACATTTCTAAAAATAGAAAGTGAAATTTAAAAATTAACAATTGAAATAACATGTTTACTTTTTTTTGTGCCATGGTTCAGACTATGATCCTATGAACAACAGATGGAAAACTGACCCTATTCTCTTTCACAGTCAGCCTCTAGCCTTGTTTTAACTACAGGCATAGAGTTTTCTGCTCTTTCCACTAATACCTCATTGTAATTCCACTGTATTCCGTCAGGTAAAGTTTATGTTCAAAGTCTCTGTTTATATATTTATAAATGTATTTTCAATGAGTACATCATTGTTTATACAAAATTTTACCACACAATCTCTGACTTCTTTTTTCTCATCCAAGCCATATTTTCAAACCTTTCATTCTTTCTTCCCAACATTTGCATTCTAGTCATCAACTATTATTTCTGCATGCTGACTACATGCTTGATGAGTTCCGGACTGCAGGAGTTGGTTGAAACCTCAATATTTTCATATTTTGATTTTAGTGACAGGTTATATATTTGAGTAAAGTTTTGTATTTATAGGTGTTCCTTGTATGTATATGGATAGTAGCCTATTATTCACAACACTGTGTTTAGAGTAGATCTTGAAATGTACTTTTTTTTCCATTATAAATGCAACATGTTCCTATTGAATTTGTCATTTCTGGGATTGTATATCTAGTGATTGTCTAATTAAAACTGGCCAATTCCAGTTCATCTCAGCTCATTACAACTGGAATGTTGAGAACTGTATTTTCCATTTAACTATTTACAACTTCCATATTTTTAAATAAAATTTATATTGTATGCTGGTTTAATTACAATTGTTTTTTACCCTGGATCTTTCCTTTATCCACTCTTCCCTCCACTCATCAAATCGTGCGACCCTATGCTTAACACCCCCAGCTCCTCCTCACCTCTCTGCTTTCCCCTCTTAGCCCCATCGCCCTTTGGATCCTCATACACAGTTCTACCATAATGATCTTATACAGTATTTGTCTTTATGGGACTGAGCATGTTCACCTAAAATTATGCTCTCCAGTCCCTCCCAAGTTAGGTTGTGATTTTCAGAATCACTGCTCCTGCATGCTGCATAGTATGTCATAGTGCAAATGTACTATAATTTCTCATTCCATTTGATTGTGGTTGGACATTTGGGCTGTTGCCATGTACTTGCAAAGGTGAATAATTCTGCTGTGAACATTGGTGTACAAATCTCCGTTTGTGCCTCGGTTCAGAAATTCTTGGGATTTATCCCAAGCAGTGAAATAGCTGAGTCATATGAGATCAGAATGAATGATTTTTAAAGGCAGGTCTCTTTACACAAAGAAACTGCTGGCATTCTTAACTGGTGAAGAATTGTGGCAGAAGAGCCCATTCTTCTGAGTCTCAAACATGGTCCAAGAGAGCATGTTGGGATTGTAGTGACTGACCCGTCCATCCAGAGTTCCACTTACAGAACCCCTGCCCTGTTGGCTTTTGGTTTCCATTTCCTTCCCTGAGAAAAGGGCAAAGTGTGGTCCAAGCTGGAGAGCTCAGAGGCTTAAACCTTTCCACTAATGTACATGACCCCCTCCTCCTGCTCCACGGAATTGGCGCTTGTTGAGCAGAAGTCAAGTGTATGAGGCTGATGGCGACAGTTATTCACAAGAGACAGCTGCTGGGTGTGGATTCTGAAAGGGGGAGGGGTGGAGAACCTGTTTGTCAACAGATATTGAACGCAGCCATTGATTATTAGGAATCAAACTTGGCTTTCTTTGACAGTGACAGCGTGTCTTCCTTGTCTTCATCCTCATCATCATCTTCATCGTCATCAGGATAATATACCAGACCCATAAGGCCTCCCTTGGTAGTAATAGCTGCCATTGGGGATGTATTTTTAGGGACAGATTAGGGGAACCTGGAGAACTTGGGGACTCAGGGGAGCCTGGAGATCCAGGTAGGTTCGGTGCGGATGACTGGCTGGTGAGATTAGTCTTCATCCCACTAGAGAGGGAAAACTTGAAAGTTGGGCTCTGCCGAGTGGAAAGATTTGTTTTCAGAAGCACTTCT